ATATTTGTTGTTGTTTACATCTAATAGGATTCACTCGATTCACATATGTTGGAACCAAAATTGTTGTGGTTGCAGAAAAAGTATAGAAAAGAAAAGTTGTATAGTCTTGAATTTCAAATGTGGGGAGCTGGTGGTTAAAGAGTAAATGTTGTGTACTAATCTCCCCTCAACAGTGGTATAGCATGCCTTTGTTTTTGCACATATCAGAGATTTGATCAGAAGCTTAATTGAGAGAAATAATGTTTACAGAGGGTTGGCTGAACAAAGGCCATGACATCTACCCTTTCCCCTCCAATTCTAGGTGTTAGACCAGGAGTCTAGCCAGATCTTCAGAAACTACATACTTTGGTTACTTTGCTTTGCATCCTTTGTAGCCCTCCACACTTGTGCTCACACTGAGGGATTATATCAATAAAGACAGTCACAAGAAACCTACTGTTATGTTATTTATGAACTGTGGTTATTAAAATCATGGTCCCGTCTACAGCTCTGTTTGAAGACCAGTGCAAGAAATTCTTTTGAGTTCTAAATGCCAAAGAAAAGCTTTACTCCCCTGAACAGTATTTTGTCTATTTTCATCATGCAAAACTAGAATTAAATAATGGATTATATTTTCCTTTCTGAGTTGACAACAAGGAAACACAGACTCAAATTTGCAAGTCAATTTTAATAATCATTTAAAAACCTATGACCTTAATATTGATGCTCTAATTTTCCCTTTGATTTTGAACTTCTGTTCTACCTTGTTTTTGTTAATTCTGATTTTATCTAATTATATTTTACCATTTTACTGAATTTATTATTTTAAGCTGATTCACATCCTTTGTGGAACAAGGCAAACTGTAAAACATAAAACCAAATAAATGACAACATTTGCAAAATTGATCTCTGGACACAGTATGTTTTTGATTAACAAATTTAATCAGTTCCATTAAATAGTTTTGAACAAGTATTGCAAGTTTAGTATATTTGAGGGTATAGAGCCAAATGGAAAACAATTTTACATAGTTTTGCAAAACTAAATTGCACTTTAAAAAATATATTTTTTAAATTGATTTTTAGAGAGGAAGGAAGAGGGAGAGAAAGAAACAGCTATTTGAGAACCAGGCATCCATTTGCTGCCTCTTGCATGCCCCCTACCAGGGATGGAGTCCGAAATCCGGGCATGTGCCCTGACTGGGAATCAAACTAGCAACCATTTGGTGTATGGAACGATGCCCAACCAACCAACTGAGCCACATTGGCCAGGGCTACACTTATTATTTTACTTAAACTTATGTCCACTTATAACTAATTTAAAGTTGGTAAAATCATTAAACTTAAGCCAATTATTTCTGTCGTACCTACCATATATTCTGTATTAGGCTGAACAGAAGATTCATTTCTTACAATTAAAAAAAAAACATTTTTAGCTAAAGGGCTAGCCTAAACTAGCTTAATATTCACCACTGGACCTCACATCTGACTTCTTTCTCATCAGTAATTTATTTGATTCATCTTTGTTTTAACAAATCAGATCATCTTTGAGCCTTTTTTATTTACCATAAAATTTAAAAGATTTAATTCCCTGGTTAATTGTCCCGACTTTATTCTGGTGTTTTGACAATTACCTGTTGAGTTGCTTGAATTTAACTTGGTAAATAGTTATTTACATCTATGTGATGGCCAAGTTCAGTTTGATAAGTTTATTACCCAGGTTAACAGAGAGATTGGCTCTTAAAGGTTAGAGCCTTTGGAGTAAAATAATCTGAATTTAAAAGTGCAACTTGAAACATTGGAGAGGATTTGGAGAGAGACGTGGGCACATTTTTTTACAAAGAGTTAACTCATTCCAATAACCTCCATGTCTTTTTAAAAAATAATTTTTATAGTAGGTAATATTTTAATGTGATTCAACAGATACAACTGTGTGTACAGTGAAAGGACTCATCTTTTCCCCCTAGTACTTACCTGCTTTTTCTAGCCACTGGCAACCAATATTATCAATTAATTGAGAATCCTCCAGTGACATTTTATGCATATATAAGCAAATATGATCTTTTAGCGCCTAATTCCCTTCTCTCTAACTTCTCTTCTCTCCATTCCCACTGCCCTAGTTTATCTCCTCAGGTGCTTTGGCCTGTTGATTGCATTTACTTTCTTCTACATTTCAGCCAGTCTTCCTTCTAAATTTCCCTCTTCAAACCTTCTAAAGGATTTCCATCTTACACAGGAAGGAGCCACCACGAACCTTAGCCCAGTCTCTTGGACCCTGAGGAATTCGTCCCTTGCCCCCTACCCTTTCCTGCCATGCATTTCAACTGTTAATAACAGTTGTTATTAACTTACCCTCATACCTGCCAAGTCACTCTTTAAAAAATCTGAAAGTCATGGTCTCACACACCACCCACACCATTTTGCCTACATGTGCTTATATTTGGACCCCAAGTTAAGAATATTTAGTAATACAAAACCTGATTGTCACTTCCTGCATGTGCATGGCATATGATTTTTCTAATTCATGTTGTTCCTTCTACTTGGAACACACTGTCTTCCTATTTTCATTAGTAAGCCACACTCAGTTCTGGTGTCATCTCCAAGGGCCCTTCTTAGTTGAGAATCCGTAAACTTATGGAGGCTTCCATGTGTAATTTAGTGTCCTGAGCAGGCTTCATACTGGGGAACAGGCATTCTCATAAATAATAAAATTGCCTTTCTAGTAAAAATTAACTGTGATTTTGGACAGCATGCTAGGATTGGTTAAAAAAAACAACAACCACCACAAAATAGTCTTGGCTCTGTGGTTAGAGCGTCGGCCCCCAGACCAGAGAGACCTGGGATCGGTTCCTGGTTGGGGTTGTGTGGGTTGCAACCAGTCAATGTGTCTCTCTCACATCAATGTTTTTCTTTCTCTCTTCCTTCCTCTCTCCCTCCCGCTCTATCTGAAGATAAATGCAAAAATGTCCTCGGGTGAGGATAAAAAACAAAACAAAAAAACAAAGCACAAAAAGCCCCAAGATTGAAGCTTTTATTTAACCATTCATCTCTTCTATCCCCCACCTCAGTAGAAAACATGTCTATCATTTTCTTTGCCCTCCCTGCCTTACTATACTAAATCTCTCAAACATTGTGTTGACACTCATTAAAAATAACTTCATAGTTATTATGGCCTTCTTCTGGGGGAGTGTTTTTTATGCTTCCCCTCCGGGATTTGCCTCTGCTGTTGGTACACAGATGTGTGAAAGCCTCCAATGGGGTGCCACTCAAGTTTAGGGATCTAATAGGAGACAGTGTTACTCTGAAGAAGTAGAAACTATGACATGCTGAGCCTAGTAGATTATATGAACCACCTGGAGAGAGTGGTCCTTCCTAAGAAGTGACTCCTTAGTATGTGAAGGAGGTGTTTTTAATTCCAAATCAACCAGATGGTGTCCAAAGTGCTCAGTTTTATTGCAGAGTGCCTGACAGGAGCTAATTTGCTGTTAACTGATTAACAGAGGATTCACAGAGTTAAGAATTAAAAGTGTTTGTTCAGTATAGTTCATGTGAAATCCTCTCACCAGCTGTGTTGTGTGGAATAGTGGAATAGTAAAAATGGTGAGATGACTCCATAGGTATGATAAACCTCAAGATCTTTTATCTTTTTTTTTTTTTGTAATTCTGACCTCACTAAGCAAACAAGGTGGGACCAGGAATTGAGGGTGCCCCGAGTAGCAGTAACAGATTACTCTAGCCATTGGATAAGTACAACCCCTGCTGTACAGTGTGCAGCACAATTTCAGGCTGTTAGTTTATTGGGGCAACCTGCTCAGTCTTTATGGTCCCAGGTACTCAGAGCTGAGCCCTCAGCCCTTGGTCCTGGTGATTACCCCCAAGGTACTGGCTGTCTGTAGGATCCCACTGAAACAGCTCGTTAGTAATCCTGTTATCGTGAATCACAGCACCTTCCCAAATAGTTTCAGTTTAACATTCTTAACTCTTTAAAAAGCATTCTAGTAAGAATTTAGTCCAGTTGGGCCGCTATAAAAGACTACCAGAGACTGCGTAGCTTATAAGCAGCAGAAATTTATTGCTGTCGTTTCTGGAGGCTGGTTGTCAGCATGGTCAAGCTGTGATGAGGGTGCTCTCAGGGGTTGCAGACTGCTGACTTCTTTTTGTGTCCTCACATGGAGGAAGGATGCAGGGGTCTCTTGAAGCCTCTTTTATGAGGGCCCTAATCCCATTCATGAAGGGATGGCCCTCATGACCCAATCACCTCCCAAGGCCCCACCTAATAGCATCACCTTGAATATTAGGTTTTCAAAATATGAATGGGAGCCCTGGCCGGTTTGGCTCAGTGGTTAGAGCGTCGGCCTGCGGTCCTGAGAGACCCGGGTTCGGTTCCCGTTAAGGGCGCGTACCTCGGTTGCAGTTTGTCCCCGGCCCTGGTCGGTTGGCGGGTGGCAGCCACTCGATGTGTCCCTTTCACATGGATGTTTCTCTCTCTCTCTCTGTTCCTCTCTCCTCCCTCCCACTCTACCTGAGCAAAAAAATGGAAAAATGTCCTCGGGTGAGGATAAAAAATAAATAAATAAATAAAATATGAATGGGAGAGGGGGCTACACAAATATCCAGTCTATAACAGGAATAGAAAATTTACAAAATAGAAAGTACAAATTGCCAAGACATGAAAATAATATTTAACTTTATTGCATCAAATAAATGAGAATTATAATTAGATTTTAAAAATTCACAGCAGTGCTGTCAAGGTTTAGGCTGAGTGACACTCCGTTTCAACTGATGGTGAGAGGGTATGTTAGAATATCGCACATGGAGAGCGAGTTAGCTCATGGAATCCCTTGGCACCAGTGATTCTATTCTAAGAGTATATCCTGAGGAAATCAGAGATGAGGCTGAATTTCAGTGATGAGCACATTGTCTATGGGAGGCAGGTGGTATGGTAGACAATGTTAAGAGCAGGGACTCGAGCCAGTTGGCTGGATTGGAGTCCTGTTCCACCATTTACCAGCGATGTGAATTTAGGCAAGTGAATTTCTTTTTTATTTTCTCAGCTGTAAAATGAAGATAATAGTATCTGTGTCCCACAGTGCATTGAGACTGAGATAAGTAAATATCTGTAAACAACTTGGAACCCTGTGTGTCAGAGAATAAGCAACTATGTAAGTATTAGTTAACTGTATAAGTATTATTATCAAGGGTGATATTGTGAACATATGAGACAAATCCAACAATGGAGTCCTTTTCTAAATGATAGTACACCAAACTGTATGTACAAAAATATCCTGACTTGATTTTAAAATGCACCTGCAATGAAGAAAGGAAAGTGACAAAATATTAAAGCCTTTTTCTCCATTGATGGAATCATAGAAATGATGGGATCCTTTCATTTTTCACATTTTTATTTGTTATCCATATGTACTACAGTAGTACTTGTTAGAAATTATTAAAATGGTAGGGTTCTTACATTTTGCATTTTTCTTTACCAAATGCATATTTATTTGACATATTTCACTTTCTCTTTCATATTTCACTTCCTCATCATCTTCACCCACGTGCCATCTGCTTGGTATTTTCTTGCGTCTAGCTCACTTGCTTTATGTGTAGATCAGCCCCAAGGCTAGTTCTTCAAGACCAGTGAATGATTCGGGAGATTTTATGGGTGGTGGCTTTTTCTTGGAAAAAGACCAAGCAGACCAAGTGAAATGATTTGGGAGATTTTATTGGTGGTTTTTTCTTGGAAGTTTAAGCCGGAGTGTGCTGCTTAGATCATAATGGGATTGTGTCTTCTTCACATTTCAGGCCCTCAGCCTTGTATCCCACTCTCCACCTGCATGAACTCATCACTCCAGTAGGGTCAGCATCTTCTGTACCCCTTACACCAGGGAATGAGGGTGTATGTGGGTGGGGAGGGCAATTCCTGCTCCCAGGGTTTGTCTGCCCTCTCTATGTGAAGTTTAATTGCACATTTCCTCCTTTGAAAGCAATATTTTGCACCAGGTAGATACTCAATTCTGTGAATATTTTCTGACATGTCTACAGGACCTCAGATTGTTTGGCACTTAAACATTTGTGCCACAAATTAAATATGGGCTTGTTTTATAGCGTAGTTATTTTTTTAAAAAAAGAATTTTATTGATTTTTTTAGAAAGAGAGGAAAGAAGAGAGAAATAGAAATATCTATGTGAGAGAGACACATCCATCTGCTGCCTCCTTCATGCCCCCCACCGGGGATCGAGTCCGAAATCCAGGGCATGTGCCCCACCTCGAAATCAAAATAAACGGGACCTCTCAGTCCATGGGATGCTGCTCAATCCACTGAGCCACACTGGCCAGGCTGTGGCTTAGTTCTTACAGTAAGCTGATTGAGGTTATACTTTACATTACATCCTTCAGTTTTCTAGCAGTGTTGTTCATATATATCAGCGGTTCTCAGCCTGTGGGTCGAGACCCCTTTTGGGGTCGAACGACCCTTTCACAGGGGTCGCCTTAGACCATCGGAAAACACATATTTCTAATGGTCTTAGGAACTGAGACACAGCTCCCCTATGCATCTCCAGGCAGGTCCGCCCACATGCATTTACACTCACATACAACATGAGGAACTGTATCAAAGGGCATGGCATTAGGAAGGTTGAGAACCACTGATATACATGCACATAGAACACAGGAAGATTGGATGATGTTGTGTTGAAAAATTCTTAAAAGATGATTTCTGTTTACTGTTCCATCTTCCTCTTTGTTCATCCTTTTCTCTCCTGTCTTCAAGATCAGGATGTTATATAATTTGGTTCTCTCAGTCTTACAGAGATTTGCATGGAAATCTGATAATGGCTTTCATTCCTAAAGTAAAAAAAAACTAAAGGTTTCCATTTGCACAGAACACCACAGTTAGTAAATGCATTTACAGTTGGGACTTTACCAATATACAAACTCATCCTAGTTGCAAGGACAATTCTGTCATCAACTCTAGAATATTGCTTGATCAAAACAATTTTATACATCTGCCAGCGAATGTGTTTATAGTTCATAAATATGTTAGATTCTCATATATCTTGCATTTCTTGGAAGGAATCAAATCATGGGCGATGTTTTCCCTATCTACTCTTCTGGTCGATTTCTAAACTCAGATCCTTACCCAGTGTCTGGGAGGACATTGTTAGAATGTCTGTATCATCTTTTTATGGCTTCTATTTTTGTTATGTGTTTTATAATGTATATGTTAGTGAAGAATACATGTTTTTATAAGTAAAAATATACATAAAAGTATTTTATGCTGATACTTTTATTAAGTGGAATATTACTTTAAAAAATGGAAATCACTAATATAAATAAAAGGCAAGACTTTATTGTTCCATAACCCAAAGTCTGTTTTTTTTTATGTATTTAGGCCTAACAAATAAAAAAATCAATGCATTAAACACAAATCCTATGTGTAGCTTACACTGGAAGTTGTAATATATATATTTGTGTGTGTATGCTCACACACATGCTCATACATGTACAGTGTAATACATTCCCTTCTCTTAGGGAACTTACAGTCTGGAAAGAATGTGGACATGATAATCAATTAATTGGACAATGGTAGAAGACAGTATAAATGTATATAAGAAACCTAGCAGTGTGAATGTGCAAACTAAAATTAGTAAAGTGTGATAAAAGTAGCATAGTACATGGTGATGCTACATTCTTAGAATATTTCAAAACCCTTTTGTAAGATTTTCCTTTGATAATCAGGTCAGTTCTTAGTCTGCCTACTCAAATATGGTATGTTTGAATTCTCTCCTGGGTACAGATGTTAACTACATGAGTTTTCTCCTCTGATATTCACAATCATATTTACCAGTGCTCTCAGTTACATGTCTACATTTCCTTTATATTAGAAGACAAAGTGGCAGAATAGACCTGTGAAAAAGTAATACCATTTTTGATGTTGTAACTTTCTGGTACAGTAATCGTGTATAAATTTTTTTTTTTTTTTTTGGTACATGCCCCTAGTGGGAACCGAACCCAGGACTCTTTGGTCCGTAGGCCAATGCTCCAACTGCTGAACCAAACCGGCCAGGGCTAGGGTATAAAATTTTTAAAAAGTGAATTAGGTGACTAGGGCTATTCTGACAAAGTACCACAAACTCTGGGTAGCTTGAAACAACAGAAATTCATTGTCTCTCCGTTCTGGAGGCTAGAAGTCTAAAGTTAAGTGTGTTGGCAAGCCGTGGTCTCTCTGAAACCTGTAGAAGAATCTTTCCTGATCTCTTCCAGCTTCTGTGATTTTGGCGTGTCTTTTTGGTTTGCAGCTGCATAACTTTGATTTCTGCTCCTGTCTTCACGTAATGTTCTCCCTGTGTCTCAATCTTCATTAGGCCATCATCTTATAAGGACAGCAGTCATATTGGATTAGAGGCCCACCATACTCCAATATGACCTCATCTTAGTTACATTAGCATTGACCCTCTTTCCAAATAAGGTCACAGTGTACTGTAGATATGACTTCAGCATTTTGGGGGGTGGGGGTGAGGGAGGTGGCACAATTCAACCCATAACAAAAAGTAATATCCAGGTCTACAGATGAATATGCCAGGATGTACTGAAGTCATCCTCGGTGTCAGATGATGCCTTCTTACAGCTAAACTTCCATAGCTATGCACATTGGTTATGCGTAAATGTCACCTAGAAGGAAAGGAAGCCTCCTGGGCTATTTGTATTAATTGGTTGCTTCTGTCTCTGGGCTTTTGTATTCCAGGCCTTGGTGGAATTATTCATATAGAAAGTAATATATACTGTGTACCTTTTATATTTCTGATAAAAATCCACAAAGTAATTTGTGGATCAGGATATTTCTAAGGGTATATTTTTTGTTGTTGTTGTGATAATGCTACATAACAGCCTCCAAATTTTAGTGGCTTAGAACAACAAGTATTTATTTCACATTCATGATTCTGCAGGGGGACCGTGGTTTGATCATGGTTGCTCTTGGTGAGATTGGACAGGCCTGGGCTGGGAGTTTGAGATGGAAGTTTTGGTCTGTTCCACATATCTTTATCCTGGAACATACTCTTCTGGTGGAGTGCAGAAACTTGCCAGGCCTTTTAGTTGAATCAGGTACATTGTTAATCCTTAGTCTGTTGGTCAAAACAAGCCACATGGTCAGATGGGTGAAGATATATACTCTATATACTAGTGCAAAGCACCACAAAGTGGCATAGCCATTGTATAATTCTCTTTCAGGGAAGGAATGCATAATTGAGAAGAACAGTCCAGTTTAGCAAAGGACCATTTTTCTTTTGAATTCTACAAGAACTTTTATATCAAGCAACTTAACCTTTAAAAAGAAAGCACTTAAACCATAGACATGCTTTGTTAACCCAGTGCCTTGGAAAATTATAGTTGAAACTCATATACATAATTTGTCTTCAAGAAGAGGTCACAGTATTTCACAATGCTGATTTAATTCACGTTGGGCAGGTTTCCTGCCCCTTAGACACTTTTTGTTGTACCTTCGTCCTGAACCCATGTTTGTGTATTTACCACATTTTAGACTTTACTAACCAAAGCCCTACTTGCCTTTCTCTCCATCATTCCCTTAGACATGTGCAGCAGAACCTGACAGAATTGCTGTCCTCTTGGGCATGCTCTGAGGGAGAACATTTGCATTAAGGATAAAACTGTTTCTGGTGTACAGATGATTGTTGATTGGGTAGCGCTGTTGAAATGTAATCACGAATAATTGCTTTGGGTGTCATCCCACCGTAGACACCTTCCCTAACAACACTGGCCCAGGTGACCTGGCCCTTTACTTTCCCTTAGTACTTCTCTGTGCACAACACGTTATTTGGCCTTAATTTTTATTATACCTTTTTTTTTTTCTGTAAGTTTTTTTTATTTATATAGGTTTTATCTCCCTTGCTAATAATTGAAGTTTCCTTGGAGAATTGAGTTCAGGATTTATATCCTAAAGGAAAATTGGCCAGAAAGCTGGTGTTCACCCTCTTGTTCCATTTAATGGTGGGTAAACTGAGCAAGAACCAGAGAGTTAAGGTTAAAATTCTTTATAGTAATATAGCCTAGCATTAGAGACTGTTATTAGTGGTTCTGATTTTGTTATCAGACAAAACTGACCATTCTGGCTCTAACTCATAGCTCTTTGACCTTGAATAAGTTCTTTAACCTTTTTAAACCCCACATTTTTAATTTGAAAAGTCATAAAGATTATTCTGTGTGTAACAGCACGGAACAAAAAAATTGGTACATATGGTTAATGTTCAATAAATGTTTAATTGTTTCTGCTTGTTGTCATCGTTATAGTCACTAGAACTGCCTAGCTTGAGTTAGTTCATTACATGATTTTCATGTTTGGGGCAAATTTGAATCTAATGTGACGGGTGGTACTGAAGGTAAGAGTCATTTTCATGAGCATTTCAACATTTAGGTTGATTGGAATCTCAGTGGATAGAATATTCTGTTCCATGAGCACTAGTTGAGGACACATTTAATCTCTATAACAGCCCTTTTACAGCTACGAAAACTGAGGGCTGGAGAAATTAAGTAACTTGCCCATGGCTACATGCCTTGGAAATACTAGTCTGAAATCCAACCAGACCTGTCCTGCTTTAAAGGTGCTCTGCTGCCTTAATAACATGGGTCAAAGGGGTTAGTCAGGTGAAGCACACAGCATCTTGGAAACAAGGAACTTCTCGCATATAGAGTTTATAAAATATCAGCTTCGAAGGAATTTTTCAAATAAAATATTTTTAATTAAAAATATTGACTTACCTAGAGTGCTGAATTTCCTTTTGTCCTAGTTGGTCTCCATGAGTACAGTATCCCGCCCTGGCCGGTTTGGCTCAGCGGTTGGAGTGTCGGCCTGCGGTACAGAGAGACCCGGGTTCGGTTCCCGCTAAGGGCACGTACCTCGGTTGCAGTTTGTCCCCGGCCCTGGTTGGTCGTGCGGGTGGCAGCCACTCGATGTGTCCCTTCACATCGATGTTTCTCTCTCTCTCTCTTCCTCTCTCTCCCTCCCGCTCTATCTGAACAAAAAATGGAAAAATGTCCTCAGGTGAGGATAAAAAAATATATAAAAAAAAATGAGTACAGTATCCCCCCACCAAGGTACAGTTTGGTTGACATGGTTACTGGGGGGAGGGTGCACCACTGACATTTAGATGAGGGGAAGCAGAATTGCCAAATGCCCTGCAATGAATGAGATAGTCCTAGACAACACAGAATTGTCCCTTATAATTGGGATTTCCTGTCTTCTGTAGGACTTATGTAAATATTTACTATGACTTTCTAAAGAAAAGAAGGATTAGTTCTAAATTGCCATGCATAGAAATATCACTTGCCATTATTTATAGCTCTAGTTCTTATTCTAATGTTCCATGCACCCCCCTCCCCATTAGCTATCCTTCCCCCACTTCTTGCTCTTTCATTTTCCTGTACTTCTAGTATGAAGTGAAATCGTTCCTGATCATCTTTCTCTTACAGTTAAACTTGTCCTATGTAACAGACGTAAACATTTAAATGTTTCATTATGTCTTCTAATGAACTTACACTCGAGAGTTTACATATTGAAGTACCTGTTATTAAATACTTTTCTTTGGGCATTATATTGATTTCATAAAATTAAGTGTGTGAATAGGTTATATCATTTGTGAACTTCTTTTCAGTGTTATAAAAGGAGTGTTGTATTTATATATTTATTTGGATGAGGGGTGTTGATTTTGATAAGGCCGAGAACTGCTGACCTACAGTAATCTCGTGAAGTGGTCGCTCTGCCTGTGCTCTGTTGCTTTTGGAGATTCAGAAGCCACTCTGTTTGCAGGCAGCTCTTTGCATCTGTCTGTAAGACAGTTCTTCCTTATTTGAGCCAAGACCCCTCTCATTCGATATCTAATGCTTGGTTCTAGGTACACCTCTTGAAGAGCCTAAATTCTCCACCAGGTAAGATCCTTGAGATATTTTTTAAAAATTGTTTTTTTCTTTATTGATTTTTAGAGAGAGAGGAAGGGAAGAGGGAGAGAGAGATAGAAACATTGATGAGAGAGAACATTGACTGGCTGCCTTCTGCATGCCCCCCACTGGAGATCAGGCCCACAACCTGGACATGTGCCCTGACTGGGAATTGAACCGGCAACCTCTTGGTGCATGAGTCCAACGCTCAACCACTAAGCCACACCGACAGGGCTAGATCCTTGAGATATTTAAAAATTGATGTCATTTTATCCCAACTCTTTCCAGGCTAAACCTGACCAGCTCCTTTGACTAATAATTGTTGTTGTTTAATGATTTTTTTAGAGGGGGGGGGGGGAGAAGGAGAGAGAAACATCAATGTGAGAGAGATACACTGATCTGTTGCCTCCCATTCATGCCCTGACAGGGGATCGAGCCTACAACCTTTTTGGTGTACGGGATGACACTCCACCCAACTGAGCCACCTGGCCAGGGCCATCCTTTGTTATTTTAGATGACAGTGTGGCTTTGAGAAAGATTGAGCCCATTATATTTCCTTATAAGTTTATTTTCTAGAAGGAAAGGTTTGCATAGAAAGAATCAGTTTGGTTTGTTCCTTAAATGGCCAAACTCAGTATGACCAAGCCTCAAAGCATGTTCTTGTCATTATTTCGTTTGTATAATAAGAAACATGTTTTGGGGAAAACAATCGATGGACATCATGAGTATACTGGTTTTTTGTTTTGTTTTTGTTTTTTTCTAGTCTGGACTGGTTATACCTGAATGTACAAGGAGCTACTGTGTGTTAGATGTGAAGCCAGAGGCCACCCTGGACTGTGTGGGTTTACACTGGTTGGGTATAGTTAGGAAATCTCCAATAGGTCTGTGCTTAAATTCTTTCTACGTGGCACCGTGACTCAAACAGGGAGCTTTACTGGTAGTCCAGACATACTTTGTCTTCCACACAGCTCTTATGAGGTAAGGATGGTGGATGTGCCATTTTTATTTGAATAATGAACTGAATTTACGTTTAAATGGACTATCCTGAGTAAAGATCACAAAAATAAATATTTAGATAGAAGATTCATCTTGTGCTCCCTCATAAAATTCTTCTTGGTCTGTAATATGCTATAAATGCAAGAGACTCTTGTAATTCAGTGTTTGGATGAGTCTAGAGTTTATTGATGTGAGGAAAAGTCAACATTAGGTGAAAGAAAGGCTTTTAAGAAGCCCATTATAACCACTTATAATGGAAAGTATAGTGTGCATTAGAGATTGATGGAAGGAGCTCTAGTTCTTCGCTGAAGCATGAAACTGGTGTGTGGTGCTCTGTGCAAAGCAGTTTTATAGTGTCCTTTGCTGATGTCTTTCCGGTTAATCTGTCGCTGTGTCTGGAGCAAAAAGGGCTGCATCTGTCTCGTTTAAGGAATGTAGAAATACTCAGAAATTTAGAAGAAACCAGAGATTAGCCTATTTTTAATTTATCTGATAGAATATATTAAAAGAAGAGCTTTGTCAGTTCTGGAGAGACATAGCAGCACCAGATGTCAGTTCTTGGATCATTTAAACATTTTCTCTTGTGCTTATTTTTGTCAGAATTTTCCCACTGGAACTAAATATTAGTTTCTGGCTCGGCTTGCAATATAGAAATTTTCCAATTAGATTGTTATGACTTCATTTTTATTCATGAGGGGAAATCTAATAAAGAGAGATCATCGCATATGGTGGTGTGCAGGAGAGGAACTTTAAAATAAGCCACCTGGTACAGAGTGAGGCTGAGAGCTGGCATGAGTCCGAGAGAGGCTGGCTTGAGTCTACACCCCCTGTCCCCAAGTCATTCTCAGTTTGGGAGGAATCTGGATTTATATCAGTTTGCCCTATAATGGACCTCACCCCAAGTCTAGCTTAGTTACTAGCTTAGCTTTTATGTGGATTTTCTTCTTCGTTCTATGTTACACATTTAGGGAAGTATAATATAAGGAAAATATGAAACATAGTGGTTTTTGACTTGAAGGAACTTTTGGTTTGGGGCTGGGGAGGCTAAGTGAAGTGTTTTTGTCCACGGTCACTCCGTGTAATTAAGGGCCTCCCAGGAAGTGAGAAGTGACCTGTGAAATAAGCTCCTAAAGAAAAGAGGGAAGGGCACCCAGGTGGTCAGGGGAGGCTTCGCAGCAGAACTGGGCCTGTGCTAGATCTGGTCGGAAGGAATACTGTAGCAAAGTTACTTCACACTTGGGGAAAGAGTAAAAGATGAAGGCCCACGGCTGGGTGACTTATTAAGGCATGCTTCCGCTGCCACTGCTCCACTGCCGTGGTCTGCTGCCACTGCTCCACTGCCGTGGTCCCGTCCGAGGCCTTAGTGGCCCACTCTCGCCGCGCCAGCGCCATTTGTCCTTACCTGCAGAATGTGTGCTGAGATGGTGGACACTGTTGATTCCAGACTTCTTTTCTAGCTCCTGTCCAAATACTCTCTGGCTCTACACTTATTGAAAGGTATTGAAGCGTGTGCCAAACTCGATTTGTGCTTATTCAACGGCTGTTGTTGAACTAAGGAAATGAGTACCTCTGGGCCTCATTTTAATGGCTACCTAACTCATAATGAGGTTGTAAGGATTAAAAGAGGTAACGTGGATATGATGAGATAAATGTCTTACAGTAGGCAGGATCACGGCTGCCTGGTAGCCACTCTGTCCTTCTTGCCTGAATGTGTCTTGCCCTATTCACAGCCATACCTGCGCCTAGGTATTCCCTCTTTCTGGAATGCTGTCCCTTTCTCCTCTCCTTACCTATTGAAATCCGCACCACCCTGAAAGATTTACTTTAATATTTCAATCAGGATTGAACTCTGTGTCTTTCAGATTCTTAGCAGTAGTCTTTGAGACAGCTCCAAGTCACTAACACTGCGTTTTAGGTATTTGCATGTGTTATTTCCCTACAGGTTGCTAAACTTGAGGGCGGAGCCCAAGTCAGGGCCATGGAGATAAAACAGTAAGAGTTTAGACCGTGTCCCCAGATTGTGTTTCCATACAGGGCCTTGTGCATAGTTGTCATGATTGCAGGGTGTTCTCATCATAATATTGTTTCCCCCCCTTAAGTACAACCATATGCTAATAATTTCTAAATCTTTTTCTTTAGCTCTAACTGCACTCTTGTGCTTTAGATGTAATCACATGTCTGGTGAATGTCTCCAGCCGACTCTCCCATGGCACCTCGAAGACAACGTGTCCAAAACTGACCTTGCATCTGTTTGTGCTCCCCTGTCCCACACACAGTCTGACCCCTTCATGTAAACTGTATCATATCTGTGGTTTCACAGTCTACCCAGGCCCTGAAGCAGCAACTTGGACATTCTTCATTTCTTCTTTCCCATGTTGCCTACATTGAATGAGTCATCAAATCTCGAATAATCTGCCTCCTAAGTATTTCTTGAATTTATTCACCCTCTTCAGTGTTAAATACTGCTACTTAAGTGTGGGCCCTTCTCTCAAAGTAGTTTTACTGTGATTTCTTTTTAATAGATCTACTTCACCCTATGCTCCATTCTTTTAAGTCCATCTTCTACAATCTGCGTATATCATGTCCTTGTGTGAAACTCTATTGTGGCCCGGCCAGTGTGGCTCAGTGGATTGAGCATCATCTCATAAAATCAGAGGCCCCTGGTTCAATTCCTGGTCAGGGCACATGCCCGGGTTGCCAGCTTGATCCCTAGAAGAGGGTTCAGGAGGCGACTGATCAGTGTAGCTCTCTCACATTGATGTTTCTATCTCTCTCTCTAAAAAAATCAATAAAAACATATTTTTAAAAAACCCTATGGTGGCTTCCTTTCATATATGTCATAGACGTCTAATCTCATGAACAAGCTCTGGTCAATTTGGTGATGTCTGTTTCAAGTACTGCCCCTGGGTTCAGTGTGATTGCTTGGTGGTGTCTGACAGGCGAAGTGAAGGGGGTGGGCGCACATAATACATAGCTAGGATGAAGTTCAGGCTCTTTAGTGTGACACAAAAGGTCTTCCATGACCCTAATCCTGGCCACGTCTTCGTCTTCAGCTCCCACCATTGCCCTGCTTCACATTTAATTCTGGTATAGCAGGGAAATATTGTCTTCTTGCTTTTGTTCAAGCTGGACCTGCTTCCCTGTATTTTACTAGGGAACCCCTACTCATCCTTCAGGTCTTGGTGTGTGTGAGGAGTGCATGGCGTGGCCCTGAATAAGGTTGAGTGTTCTTCCTCTCGCTCTGGTGACACCTTTGCTTTCTCCATAGCAGTTCATAGCCCGCTGACCTGAATGCCTAGGTGTTTCCCTTGCAAGACAGTAATTTCCATTAGGGCAGATATCATGTCTTATCTCTGGTCTCTGATACTTTTCACAGTACCTTTCTTGTAATATGTATTGTGAATTGTTTATTGAATGGGAATGATTTAGTAAATACTTTGCTGACCATTCTTTGCTTTTAGTTCAATATCCCTTCAGGGTTTAAAGACAGATTTTAGGAAAGGTGAGTGCTCTGCAGAAAATTTAGATTAATGAATCAGGCAGTAAGTAGACATTGGAAAATTTTGAGCAGGGGTGTGGTGACACAAGTGGTATTTAAGGAAGATTGATCTGGAGACAACCTCTTATTATAGTTTGAAAGTGCTCCTGGGAAACATAGGTGAAGGTGCAGGGGTGGCAGAGGCAAGACACACAGCCGTTCTGATCAGCCCCAGAGGCTGTGTACTGTCCCTGCCACCTTGGCTCAAGTGGAACGGACTCACTGGCATGTTTCCGAAAACAGAACAGTGATGTGATTTTTATTTATTTATTTATTTTTTTTATCCTCACCCGAGGATATTTCTCCATTTTTTTGTACAGATAGAGAGGGAGGGAGAGAGAGAAAGGGAGAGAGAGAGAGAAACATCGACGTGAAGGGACACATCGAGTGGCTGCCACCCGCACGACCAACCAGGGCCGGGGACAAACTGCAACCGAAGTACGTGCCCTTAGCGGGAACCGAACCCGGGTCTCTCTGGACCGCAGGCCGACGCTCTAGGCTGAGCCAAACTGGCCAGGGCTATTTTTAAAGAACATTCTTATAAAACACCTAACTGGTCCATTTCTTATATCTATGAGACATAGTCATTATTAATTACTTGAAAAGTGTGATTATGGGGGTTTAGGTTGAGGGGGCAAAAAGAGATTAACCAAAGAACAAAAATGCATGTATGCATAACCCACAGACACAGACAGGAACACTGGGAAAGCCCAGGGCGGGGTGGGGAGAGAGTGGACGGAGACAGACAGGGAGAAGATGGGAGACATCTGTAATACTGTCAGCAATAAAATAAAAAATAATTTTTTGAAAAAAGCATGGTTATGAGTTTAAAATTTAAAAAAATGATTAGTTTCTGCATAGCTAGCTTAAACTCTTCCAAAGTCAGTGGTTTTCATCTTGGCACATTTGAAAAGAATTGTTAATTAAGAGGAAAACATTTCAGTTTCTTTTTTTAGCCTCCTTTTGTTTGTAGTTTAACACCTCCAATCTAATTGTAGGATTTTAGTCCCCAGTGCGCTTTCGTATTTCATATTACTCGTGTGATTGTGTTCACTGGTTACAGCGTGTCTTCCATTTGTTGTGGGCCGTGTAGCTCCACTCTGCCTGATTCCTTCTCTTTTCTTTTTCTTATTTTCCTCATCCGCAGATATGTTCACTTTGCCTCCTTCTTCTTTTTTTTTTTTTTTCCTTATCCTCACCCGAGGACATTTTTTGATATTTTGTTCAGATAGAGTGGGAGGGGGGGGGAGAGAGAGAGAGAGAGAGAGAAACATCGATGTGAAAGGGACACATCGAGTGGCTGCCACCCACATGACCCAACCAGGGCCGGGGACAAACTGCAACTGAGGTATGTGCCCTTAGCGGGAACCTAACCTGGGTTTCTCTGGACCTCAGGCCGATGCTCTAACCGCTGAGCAAAACCAGCCAGGACTGCCTTCTTCTTAATATTGGCCATTGTAAGTGTCTTAATTTACAGTCACTTTGTTGTTTTTTATTACAGGGTTATGACTCATTGATTAAAAAGAAGAACTTTCCCAAATACTTTGCACTTTTGACTTCATACTATGGATACCAAGGAAGAGAAGAAGGAACGGAAACAAAGTTATTTCGCTCGGTAAGCATTCGCTCTGCAAAGTTTTATCAGTACTTAAAAAAAATTGAGGAGCCTTTGTATTACTTGGCCTTTTGTGTCTTGTGACTGTTCATAAATAGAGCAGGTAGCCAGTAGAAGTTAACTAATTTTTGTTTTCTGCTCTGTAGCTTAATTGGTTAAACTATAACTAAAAATCTATGACATATTTAAAGTCTAATACCTTGTGAAGTATCTGTTACATAAAAAGGTAAAGGGATCAAGCAAGCAAACAAAAAACTTATAGACACAGAAAAATAAAAGTATTTTTGAAAGAGGTTGCAATGGATGAAAATTCTATCATTGATGTCCACTGTCATTTTTAAAAAATTTTTTATTGACTGATTTTTAGAGAGAAAAGGAGAGAGAGAGAAACATCGATTTGTTGTTCCACTTATTTTTGTTCTTCCACTTATTTATCCATTCACTGGTTGATTCTTTAATATTCCCTGACCGGGGATGGAACTGGCAAAGTTGGCATACCCAGAGCCTCTCTGACTTCTAGTGGGCCAGGGCCTGTGTGTCTATGTCATTTTTAAAGCTTAAAATCATCCAATATATATACATTTGTGGTATCTGGTAGAAGTAATCTAGTATATGGTCAGTTACTATTTACAGATTTAAACATCTGCATGGCAGCCACTCACTAATCACAATAAAATGAATGATAAGCTAAAACATTTATAAATTATTTTGATAAATAGAATGTTTTCAAAATCTGAATGAGGCCCAGCCAGTGTGGCTCAGTGGTTGAGCATTGATCCATGCACCAAGAGGTTACCAGTTCAATTCCCAGTCAGGGCACATGCCCAGGTTCTGGGCCAAATCCCCAGTGGGAGGCATGCAGGAGGCGGCCATTCGATATTCTCTCGTATTGATGTTTCTATCTCTCTCTCCTCCCTTCCTCTCTCTCTCTGAAATCAATAAAGAAAAATCTGAGTGAGAAGATAAGCTTAAAATTACCATTATTGTCTACTAAACTGAAATCCTTCTTAAGAACTGAATTCAGGCTCACACATCCCAACCCCCAGTTTATGCTTGTTAAAAATGAATTTCCTGTTGCGCAAATATAAGCCTTGGAAACTGACAACCAAAGTTTTTTGCTGATGTTTTTATCTAGAAATTAAGCTAGGTTTTAGATTGTTAATGAGAAAAGGAAGGAAATGAGTATTTAAGGAACTACTTACTATGTCCCATGTAATTATACTCTTTTATTTATCTACAAAATAAACCGATGTCTTAGGTTTTCCCCATATTTTACCAATGAGTAATTAAGACTCAGAAAGCAAGTATTTTGTCCATAATGTGCAATGTAAGAGTCAGTATTCATATGTAGGGTTTTTTCCAAAGGGCATGTTCCAATTAGTAATAGTAAACCATGAATGAGAGGTTTTGGAAAACGAGTTAAATTACTAATTGTAGTAAAATGTTTTTCACTATTAGTACTATAGAGAGTAACAAGATTGTGTAGACAGGGAAGACATCAAGCATCAAATGCATAAAACATTAGAAAGGACACTCAGAATAAATAAGAACATTATAGTAATTTTTAAAAATGCTTTATTTTGAGACAATTGTAGACTCCCATGTAATTGTAAGAAATAAATACAGGGATCCCCTATACCCTCAATCAGTTTCCCACAATGGTAAAACCTTACAGAACTATCCTATAATATTACATCTAGAAAATTGACATTGATACAATCCACTGACCTTATTCAGATTTTAACAGGCTTCACACGCACTCATATGTGTTTGTGTTTCTATGTGTGTTTAGTTCTGTATAGTTTCATCGCATGTGTAGATTTGTGTGGCCACCATCACATTCAAGGTGCAGAACAATTCTGTCAAAAAGATCTGATGTGCTCTGGCTAGTTTGGCTCATTGGTTAAAGTATCTGCCCTTGGACCGAAGGGTCACAAGTTTGATGCAGTCAAGGGCACATACCTGGGTTGCAGGTTTGATCCCTGACCCCAGTTGGGGCCATGCAGTAGGTAACCAATCGATGTGTCTCTCTCAAATCTCTGTTTCTCTCTCTCTATCCCCCCCTCCCTTCCTTCCACTCTATCTTAAAAAAAAAAAAAGAATTCAATGGGAAAATATCCTTGGGTAAGGATAACAATAGCAACAAAAGAGAACCTACTGACGTGCTATCCTTTTGTAGCCATATTCACTTCCTTTCCTCTGCCTTCCACCCCTCACAGCCACTAATATGTTTTCAATCTCTATGATTTATGATTTCAAAAATATTACATAAATGGGATCATATAGTATATAACCTTTTGAGGTTAGATTTTTTTCACTTAGTACATTTCCCTTGATGTCTTAGTTTGTTCAGTCTACTGTAACAACATTTCACAGACTGAGTGGATTGTGAACAACAAATTTATTTCTTACGGTTCTAGAGGCTGGTTGTCTGGGGTCAGGGTCCCAGCATGATCAGGTTCTATGTCTGGTAAGAGCCCACTTCATGCTTCATATTGTTACCCACAGGAAGCCCTCAGTGTCCTCCACTGTTGCCGGTGGGAGTGGGCTTCTTGTGATGTCATGAGAAAAGGAATGACTTGCAAGGAGAGTGAGTGATATTTATTTGTGTGGAATTAGACCCCTGAGTTCCCAAGGTCCCTTCTCCCTCCATCCTGCTAAGGATAAAGTCCAGCTATGTCTTCAGCAGAGCTAGGATTAAAGCCACTGCCCAGAGCCTCTGTTCCATTTTTTGCACAGTCCAGTCCAGCTTCAGGCTGGCTTCTAGGGCCACATGGCTAGGGAGGGGACACAGGCAAGTGCAAGGAAGTAGGACCAAGCCAGAGGAACAAGAGAGAGGTAATTCCCTTTTCTGGGGATTTTATCCTAAGATTTTGTGTACTTGCAGTGGCTCCCTCCCTCCCACCAATCCATGGTTCCCGAGGATGGACTAACAGGCAGGTATCTTCCCTTTGCCACCCTGACTTGACTGCGCATACATCCATCTTCCCTTGCCCCAGTGATCTGCCGGAAATGGACTGGTGGTTTCCTGGGCGAGTGTTAACTTCCAGCTACCTGGTGAAGCTGCCTAGATGACCATGAATGTCTGACCTTCCCTTTGCTTTCTTCCTATTAATAAGATTAGTTAGCTAATTACAGTGGTAATAATATAAGGTTGTCCTCTGACTATAACCATACAAAATGGAAGGGGCAAGGAGCTTTCTCATGCTTTTTTACAAATATACTAACTCTGTTAATGGGGGTCCACCCTCATGGCCTAATCACCTCCCAAACCCCATCTCCTGATACTATCACATTGGGCATTAAATTTCAACATATACATTTTGGGGGAACACATACATTTAGAACATAGCACAAGATCTGTCCAAGATGCTGTATATATTAATAGTTTGTTGTTTATTATTGCTGAGTAGTATTCCATGGTAGGAATGTATCACAGTGTTTTAACCATTCACCCATTGAAGTACATTTGGGTTCTTTCCAGTTTGGGGTTGTTACAGATAAAGTTGAAAGATCATTATATATCAGTTATGCTATTTTAAATAGTTCTATTTAAACCAATATAATGTTGTTTGTGAACTGCTTTAAGGATACAGCCTCAATAAAAGAGGAAGACATGGTCTTGTTCATTTTTTTGGTTGGTTTTAAGATGTTTTGGGTATTAAAAGGTATATTTAAAAAAAAAAGAAGCAAGGCACTTTGAGATTATTTCTGTTTCCTATGTATTCCTGTGCCTTATCCAAAAAAGAAATAACAAATAAAACTGATAGGATCATTTGTGTACAGTTTTTGTGTGGATGTAAAAAGATTCCTGTAGTAAGGGTTACTGGCAGGTCATGAACAACCTGCTGAAAGCTAACCACTTCTTGTTCCTAAGATGTAGAGTTAGGGGAGCCCCTTAAAGTGAGAATGCAAGATGAAACTGTCATGAAAAAACAGCATAGTTTTTCAACTCAGAAATGTCAAGTTCATTGTTATGCTTGCTTTGTTCTCTTGTGAAAAGTATTCTACCAAAGAAAAGAAAAGCATATCAAAAAATGAAGTGTGACCTTAGAAGCATAGAGATAGCAGGACAAGGACAAAAATCAGTGGTGCTATTAAAACAGTAGGTCAACATGATGATTTACTAGGAATCGAGAGAGAGAGAGAGAGAGAGAGAGAGAGAGAGAGAGAGAAAGCGAGAGAGAGAAAAGACAGGCAAACCCATAGTTTAGCTATTATAATGCAAAGGCAACCAAAAATGGTCAACCTAGTGAAAACAAAAAGCAAACAACATAAAACCCTTCATTATCAGAAAAGAGGCAGCCAAAGTTATAAATTTTTTCAAATGCCTCTGACTGAACTGTGGCATTCCATAAAATCAGTTACTGATAAAGTGTACTTGAAAGCCAGTTTCTGACAGCACGGGGCTGATTTCTCTGGATCAGTGTGTTTAAGGGCAGTCTAAGCAAGATCTCCAGAGAAGAAAGGAAAGTCAGGCAAAGGGCAAGACCAAACTGATGCAATCACTAATCTCTAGGAATGTGCAGAGATCAAGAGGAAGATTTCTCCTGATTTCTGCTTGTACCACAGTATGTATCTGAAACCCTACGCATTGCTTTTACACCCTGTTCACCCCTCCACCCATCCTTTTCCCATTAAGAGTAATTAAGTAGCCTGTTTACTTGGTGCACTATTTTACCATGTGTTTTCATAGACATACTGTGATTGTGTTTGGCAAATAATCCTTTATTTACCTCCTTTGTTGATTTTTCTCTCTCTCTCTCTGAATTTAATATCAAAGAAAGATAAGTTTAAAAGACCCTATTTTAGGGGGCAGTGGGAGGGGGTGGAGGGAGTCAGTGGGGGAAAAAGAAGAGACATCAGTAAAAAAAGAATTAATTTTTAATAATAATAATTAAAATTAATAAGAAAAATAAATGAAAGATCCTATTTTAATAATTTTGGATTGAAATTAGCAATTTGAGGATCACTCAGTACTTCCTTTCTTATACTTTATC